CGGGCCAGTCGTGGGCGCTGGGGCCCGGGGCCTGCTGCTCGCTCCCGGCCGCGGAGAGGGACTCTGAGGAGCGGTAGGACCCAGTGCGGCTGCTCTGGCCTTGGGTCCTATGGGGACTGGGAGTTGCTTTTAATGGGCTTTGGGGGTCTCTGGTCCCATCGGGTGGTGTCACGAAGTGAGGCTCCTGGCGGCCCCGTCTCGGAAACACCTGTGAGTTGGGTTGGGTGGGCGTGCGGTCTACCCTGGCTGGCCCCTCCCCAAATCCAAGCCTCCTCCCGGCTTTTCCTGAGCACTGAGTGCAGGCCTCTCTGCATGTCCACTGGGAAGACCCAGTGCGCCGAATAAACGTATAAAACACTAAATGAAAAAATCTGAGCACACTTCGAGGCTAGATTTACACACACAGCCCAGTTGAGTGGTGTCACACATAGGTGGATGAGGTGCCCTGTCTCTCTGCACCACGGAGGGTCCCGAGAATAGAAAGGCCAGGGAACAAGCATAAAAATTACTGTTTTTGGGGTCTTTTAGCAAATTAGCACAGAGAGGAGTGAGTTATTTAAAACTGAGTGTAAAAGTTGATTTCTTTTCTTTTGTAGATAAAGGAGAAAATGAAAAAGAGAAAAAGTCAGTGGTAAGTCCCTGTTGTGTGCACTCTCTAGGGTAATTTTTCTTGACATTTTTTGAGGAGGGGTCTGAGGGTATATATGCAAATAGTTAAATACAGAAGTATAAGAGAATCGATAAATATCTGCTGGGTGCTGTGATTTAGATAATCCCAGCAGCTTGGGAGGCTGAGGTAGGATCATCCACGTCAGGGCAATTTACTGAGACCGTAAGGGCTGGGAATGTAGCTCCTTGTGAAGATGCTGCGTTTAATCCACTGTTCCACCAAAAGTAAAACAAAAAATAAATCTGTCTCCATCACTGGGCCTCAAACCCTCCTCTGTTACCAGTGCTTGTTTGTCCCTTCCCAGAGTCTTAGGTGGGAGTGTACGTGTATTCCTATCCTTTGGGTAGATTTGGATTGCCAGAGCTTGAAGAGTGATGGTGAAGGGATTGAAAAGTGCGCATCCTGTGTAGAGACGGTTGGGGTACAGTAGGCAAGATGTGAAGGGAGTTGTGCCGACCACTTCCTCCTGTTGTTCAGTGCTCAGACTGGTGGGTAAAGATAGGATCAGAGAGCATCCATGAGAGTCCGCAGATGTGGATTCGGGCATGGAGGTGATTTGAAGTGCTGGCTCTGAGGAGCTGTAATTGGTCTGAGGTTGGCAAGCAAAGGAAGTTTATGTTAGACATATCCATGGGAATGTCCACTGGGTGTTTAAACTGGCTGGGGTAGGGGACAATATTTTGGTCACCATTAATCCAGGAGCTAAGTTTCTTTAGGGAGAGGGAAGTTTTGTAACTCCTGAAGGAGTGGTTTCATTGTAGTGGCACCCTTGGCCAGGCTTTGCAGAAGGTTGAGGGTATGGGTAGGCTCCTGGCATACTTGGGGTGATGGAGAGGGCCTGGGAGGGAGGCACATGGTAGGGAGAGGACTAGGTATTGAAATGTTTGAGACTGATGGAAGTTTGATGAGATTAGAGGAGGGATGAGGTATAGCAGGCAGCACTATAGAAAGGGAGAGGGATACAAAGTCGGACTGGATAAGAATTAGTGCATTATTGTAGGGTTAAGTATTGAGCTAACATTGATGTGGCCTGGGGTTATAGGTGCTTTATCGGTGTGGTCCGACACTCCCCCCACCCCAGTAGGAAATCTCAGGGTCAGGGATGCCCCTAACCATTCAAGTCCTGTGAAGTCCTGTGTGGGAGCCCCTGGTTACCACCTGGGGACCTGGGAATCAGCCCGTGTCATTAGGGAGGGAGATGGCAATAAATAGGACAGTGGTAGGTCTAGAGCAGCTGTGAGTTTGGAGACTGTGAGGAGGAGTGCTGAGGCCTGAGGGGAGCCTTCAGAAGCCTTGATACCTCTTGAGAGGTGGAAGAGAGTTGGAGGTGGGGGAGTTGGAACAGAGGGCACTTCAGGTGCAGGTCACAGAAGGAAGAGAGCTTGCAGGCTTGGGCTTGTGGCCAGTCCCAGGGAGGCTACTGGGCTTGGGAGTGTGGAGGTATTGGGGATAGGGCCCGATACCCAGGACCACTGAAGGACTGACTTTACCCTTTGCCTTAGTTTTCTGCTGCTATAGTATAATACCATAGACTTGGATAACTTGTAATCGACAAATTTATTTGGCTCATGTTCTGGAAGCTGGGAAGTCAAAGGTCAAGGAGGCCTCTGGTGAGGACTTTCTTGCTATATACTCACTCTTGTACTCCCAAGGTGGAAAAGAGGAAGAGAGTGAGAATGAGAACAAGAAGAAGAATAAGGAGAAGAGACCCTCAGTTCATCATTTTATCAGGAACCCACTCCTGCAATGATGGCATGAATCCATTCTTGAGGGCAGAGCCCTCATGACCTAATCACCCCTTGAAGGTGCTGCTTCTCACGTGTTGCACAGAGGATTAGGTTTTCAGAACATGAACAGTGGGGACACATTCAAACCATAGCACCTCTGTGCAAACATGATTTTGTTTGCCTCTCAGGGAGAGATGGTGGTAGACCATGGAGAAGGCTCCTAGAAGTCCAGACTGGAGGTAAAGAGGCCAGCAGGGAGGCTGCTCCATCAAAGAAGAGCAGAGGACTTAGCTAATGGCTGGGGGATGGGCACAGATTCTATAGATGATGGGAAGTCAAGCCCAGAGGAGTTGCTGGTTGATAGGTGTTGCTGCGTGAGGAGAGATATCCAATGTGTGGAAGATGTTTGGGCTGTGTGCAGCCATCACACAACACTACTGTTACAGTATTCAAAAATTGAGCACTGTATCACAATTTATAGAAAAACAGTTGGACAGAGCTTAACTTCCACAGTGGGGATTTAGTAAGTTAGACCATAGCATGTTTTAAGCTTCAGATCTATAATGTCCTCTCAGGATCTCGTATGTTTAGAGGTGAGGCTTTTAAAAAGTGGGTCATGGGAACATTGTACTCATCCTCAATCTGCTGATGAATGCGTAGCTAAATGTGCTGCTAAGAGGTAGGACGTGGTTGGAAGAGGTGGTCCCTCGGAAGGGTCTGTCTCCCTCCTTGTCCCTCTCTTCTGCTTCCTGGCTGCCATGGGTGAGCACCTTTTCCTTCACCATGCTTTGTGCTATTCTGTCTCTGCCTTGAAGCCAACAGACCAGTGAGTGATAGTGAACCAAAATAAACCTCTCTTCCTTTTAAATTTTGATTGTTCGATGTTTTGTCCTAACAGCAAGGAAAGTGACTGAGATGGTATATCTTACAAGATGGAATACATGTCATTAAAATTTATGGTTTTTTGAAAAATACAAATTTATGACATAGGAAACAGTGCTTCTCTATATCAAAGGAGAATAAAAGAAAAAATAACTACCTGAAACCAACAATGATGAAAATACATGAAGTATGATCTAAATGGAAAAGAAATACATAAATTTCCCTTCGGGAAAGAGCAACAAAGACATTTAGGAACTTAATGATACAGTAGTTCTGAGTTGGTGTAAGAGAATGATATGTGGTTAACAGTGAGAGTGTATAAAAGGAGGGTGTGTTTGGAGGTGGGGTGGGGTGAAAGTGGGCAGTTATTCCTTAGTACTTTGAATTTAAATGCCATCCATTGAACCGAGTTCTTGTAAAAAGCTTTATGACTGTATGCATACCATAAAGCTCACCCATTTTAGTCAACAATTCAGTGGTTTTTAGTAAATGTACAGAGTTGTGCAATGTTGCTATGATCAACTTTAGACTTTCTATCTCTTCAGAAAGAAACCTCATGACCATTTGCAGTCGCTCACCTGCACAGGGTGACTATTAATTTACTTCCTGTCTTTTTTTCTTTTCTGAACATTTCATACAAAATGGAATCCTATGGTCTGATCTTTCCTGTGTGCCTTTCACACAGCATAATATTTTGGATTATATCTGCATTATAGCATGTATCATTACTCATTCCTGTCTTAGTCCTTTTCCTGTCACTGGGACAAAATAACTGGTACAATTTTTTTTCTTTTTTGGGGGGTACTGAAATCAAACTCAGGACCTCGTGCTTGTGAGGCAGGTGGTGGAACTGAGCTAAATCCCTGGCCCCTTTCTAGTACAGTTTTAAGGAGAGATTTATTTTGGCTCACAGTTTCAGAGGGTTCAGTCCATGGCTGGCTGGCTAAAAGCAGAAATGGCATGGCACAAGGACCTAGTAGAGGAAAGCTGTTTACCCCATGCCAGGAAGTGGGGGGAGTGTGTGTGTGTGTGTGTGTGTGTGTGTGTGTGTGGAGAGAGAGAGAGAGAGAGAGCATGTGTGTCAGGATAAGAATATTCTTCTAGGTCAGTTCCCTAGTTAGTGATCCACCTCCTCCAGTCAGACCCTACTCCTAATACTACATTCGGCAATGAACTCATCGTGGATTAACCCACTGGTGAGTATAGTATATTCCTGATCCAGTCACCCTTAAAAACACCTGAACTCATGAGGCTTGGGGGACATTTTAGATATACACTAACAGTTTCCCATTATATGGCAATAACACACTTTATCTATTTACCAAATTAGACTTCTAACCAGGTTTCCTTTTTACTAGGGATTTCTCAGGATCTTTAAGAGGGCAACATTTATTTTTCACGTTTCCAGTGGGGACTGTGGAATCCAAACTTGTCACATGTTTGTGTTTGGTCCTGAGTAAATATCCAAGTGGCTGCTCTCGTGTTATAAGTGATTATTTATTTTATTTTTATACCACTGTATTTTCTACAGTGACAATGATTAATTTCCACTTTTAGAAAAGATTAAATGTTATTTCAAAATAAGGGTAGGGCTAGGAGTGTAGCAAGCACAAGGCCCTGGGTTCAGTTCCCAGCACCAATTAAAAAAGGGGTAGATGATTCATCCATGTCAATTATAATGGTGGGAAATTAGACTCAAAGCTTTATAGCGTAGTATAGTAGAGGTAAATTGTAGTGTATCAACTGAAATTTGGACCAGCCAGCTGCATGCTACCAGTGAGGTGAATATCCTGTTCTATGATTTCCTATTTCTTTCCTCCTGCCCTTATTTGTTGGGTGTGGGGCCATGCCTTGAATATTTAGTGCCTGGCACACTGAAGGCACATAGGCCTTCAGTAAGCAGTTGAAAGACTTTCAAAGGTAGGAAATATGCATGGGTGAAATATGCTAAAATGTTATGGTGTTTGTCTCTTTTTATTGAGATTATAGGTGACTTTTTACTTTATGGCTTTATTTCCTTTAATGGGCATGAATCCTCTTATAGTATTTTTAGATAACACTGTAAAGTGGAATTGAAAGCCTTCCTTTTCTTGACTTTTGTCCCTTCTGTGTTCCTATTCCTCATGCCTTGCTTGCTATAAACCAGTAGGCGGTTTGGCTGAGTTTATTCAGGATCATTTACCCACTCTTCAGAGCTTCACAGTGGGAATAAGGACAAGTGTTTTGGAAGAAGGTCTCATCTGAACGGCATATTAGTTATTGCAGTGCACAAGGAAGAAACAGTCTGTATAGAATGCTGTCTAGGTTGAATTCTTTTTAAATATCCAAGAAGAGGAAAAATAGTTTTCTTTA